GGGCGAGCTCCTGGCGTCCTGACACTAAGGGTAGTCCGGAGCCGGACGTACACCGGGACGCCGGGGTAAAGGTTATCCGGTTTCGTCCTTCAGGAACATGGTGCTTAATGTATAGTCGGGGTTTCTTATTGCCTTTGGCAATATCTAGGGCTTTATGTAAATCCTCACTTTAGGTTTTAAAGTACAGCCAATTAGATCAAGAGAATGTCTGTCATCTGACAGACAAGGTCTAATTGAGAAACCTGGCTACCGTCATTACGAACCTGTTATCGGCTATTCCCTGGATTGGTACAGATCTGGTGGAATACATCTGGGGTTGTGTAAATATAGAGTTCATTACTGAAGCACCAATTTTATCTCATTCTCTGGTCACCGGAGCTCGTAGAGCCCGGATGGCTCATTCGAGGCAGTCACCATCGACTCGTAGGACACAAAGCAGTCCAATACGATCAATGGATCAACTGCGATCAAGTGCTCGATACAGCAAACTGGTGCTGCCTTCTAAATCCTCTTCTTACTGGGCTGCAAATGGCCCATAAACTAACAACGTCAAATATTGCTATTGTGACAACAATGGGCTTTCACATATTTGATCTCCTTTACACAGACCCGGAGCAAGTCCGTGCCTTCCTGGCCGCAATGGCTAAAGAAGGGCTAGTTGCAGGGGTTTATTTGTGGATCAATCGAACCAACGGGAAAATATACGTAGGATCCTCGATCAATCTGTACTCGCGTATCTCGTATTATCTTGCTTTAAACGGTATTCATGGTACCATCGGAAAGGCCCTCCTCAAATATGGTTTAGTTGGTTTCATATTAGTCATTTTTCTCGTCCCCGACGCCTCCTTAGTGCTTGCTCTGGAGCAGAGTGTGCTTGACGGTTGTATCTGTGCCTATAATATCCTGCCCACTGCTGGTTCTTCTGCCGGGGCAAAACACTCTGAGGAGACAAAAGCGAAGATTTCTGCTTCTGTGAAGGGGAATAACCCCTCGGAGGAACACAAGGCAAGGATATCGGCTGCTAATAAGGGGAAGAAACACTCCGATGAAAGAAAATCGAAAATGTCTGCTT